AACATACATATATTCATACATACAAACAAACATACATAAATACATACTTAAATACATATATACGTACCATACATACATACATACATACATACATACATACACACATACTTTCATACATACATGCATGCATTCATACATACATACATGCATTCATACATACATACATACATAAATACATACATTCATACATACAAAGATACATAGATAATACATACATATATACATACATACAAACATACATACTTACATACATACATACATACATACATACATACATACATACGTACGTACGTACATACATACATATGTACATACATACATACACACACACATACATTCATACATAAATACATACATACATACATACAAATAGATACATAATATATACATACATACATACAATACAATATACACATATATATACACATACATACATACATGCATACATACATACATACATACATACATACATAGATACATATATACATAGATACATAGATACATACATAATACATACATACATACATACATACGTACGTACGTACATACATACATACATAAATAGATACATAAATATATATATACATACATACAAATACAAATATACACATATATATACACATACATACATACATGCATACATAAATAGATACATAAATATATATATACATACATACAAATACAAATATACACATATATATACACATACATACATACATGCATAGATACATAGATACATAGATACATAGATACATATATACATAGATACATAGATACATAGATAATACATACATACATACATACATACGTACATACAAACATACATACACACATACATACATACGTACATACATACATACATACATACATACATACATACATACATACATACATACAACATACATACGTGCATACATATATCTTCATGCATAAATACAAACATACATACGTACATAGATACATATATACAAAGATACATAGATACATAGATACATACATAATACAAACATACGTAGATACATAGATACATAGATACATAGATACATACATAGATACATACCTTCATACATACATACGTACGTACGTACATAGAGATACAAATGTACAAAGATACATAGATACATAGATACATAGATACATACATAATACATACATACGAACATAAATAGATAGATAGATAGATACATACATACATACATACATACATACGTACATAGATATATATATACATAGATACATAGGTACATACATACATAGATACATAATACATACATACACACATACAAACATACATAGATACATAGATACATACATATGTACATACATACATACATACATACGTACGTACGTACATAGATACAAATGTACAAAGATACATAGATACATAGATACATAGATAAATAGATACATAGATAATACATACATACGTACATAGATAGATACATAGATACATACATACATACATACGTATGTACGTACATAGATACATAGATACATAGGTACATAGATACATAGATACATAATACATACATACATACAAACATACATAGATACATAGATACATACATATGTACATACATACATACGTTCGTACGTACGTACGTACATAGATACATATATACATAGATACATAGATACATAGATACATAGATACATAGATACATAGATACATAGATACATAGATACATAGATACATACGTACGTACGTACGTACGTACATACATACATATACACATAGATGCATAAATACATAGATTCATAGATACATACTTAATACATACATACATATATACATACATACATACATACATACATACATACGTACGTACATAGATACATATATACATAGATACATAGATACATTGATACATATATACATATAAAAATAGATATATAGATACATAGATACATAGATACACAGATACATAAATACTACACACTCAGATATATCTATATTTTATATATACATATATATACCAACCTGAACACGCTAAGCATATCAGTATGCCCAGGTTGAGTGACACCCACTCTGGCTGAGCGTCTCCGCAGTCGGCGCAGGCATCATTGCCCATCACCTTTCGTGTTCTGTTTATAAATAGTTTGTACATAGCCGTATTTGGATCCGGCAGTTGGGATGTGGAATGCCCCGCTGTAACAATTGGACCAAGAGATAGAAGGTTTAGAGTATGAAACTCATGTAACACGGTTGTATTAACACGGTTGTATTCACACGGTTGTATTAACACGGTTGTATTAACACGGTTGTATTAACACGGTTGTATTAACACGGTTGTATTCACACGGTTGTATTAACACGGTTGTATTAACACGGTTGTATTAACACGGTTGTATTAACACGGTTGTATTAAAACGGTTGTATTAACACGGTTGTATTAACACGGTTGTATTCACACGGTTGTATTAACACGGCTGTATTAACACGGTTGAATTAACATGGTTGTATTCACACGGTTGTATTAACACGGTTGTATTCGCGACGGGTAATTGGGATGTGGAGTGTCTCGCTACAGAAGTTCGGGTTAAAGATTGCGTTTGTATGTACTATCTAGCAATGCATGGCTGTATTCGGGTTAATTAATTAGAATGTGGATTGTCTTGTTGTGAAAATTAGGGCCAGAAATTAGGATTAAAGTGTGCAATCCTAGGGGCACTTATGTACAATCCACCGATGCATAGCTTGTGCATGGCTGTATTCGGATTAGATAATTAGGATGTGGAGTGTCCCGCTACAGAAATTAGGACCAGTAGTCATAAAAGAGAGGGCAATATCAGGATTTGGAAAGTAAACTCAACCACAGAATGGGGTGTACCCTCGGAACATACCACTGCAAGACAAACGCAGTCTTTGTACAGTAGTGGTGGGTATAGGACTAAACAATAGAATATAACAGCCATTTTTTAATACAAACACACAACGACCATACATGCACCTCTATCTATTAATAAGATAATACATGCACATCTATCTATTAAGAAGATAATACATGCACCTCTATCTATCAAAAAGATGATACATGAACCTCTATCTATTAATAAGATATTACATGCACCTCTATCTATTAATAAGATAATACATGCACCTCTACCTATGCC